GAATATCATTGTCTCAGTAATTTTCATTTAATTTTTAAAGTTCATTTTATTCCAGAACTTCCCCCAAATAAATTCCTACTGTCGAATAGGATTTATTAATGATACTTTTGGTTCTGTTATATTAAGGATATAAATTTTTGGTTTTGATGTATGGTTGGTTCTACCTAAATAGTTTGAAGGAATGTACTGAGATGTATCGTGTGTGTGTGTGTGTGTGTGTGTGTGTGTGTGTGTGTATTCATGGGACAATGCTAAGAATTAAGAAGCTGGACAACTGGATTTAGTAGCAGGATCCTTCTCCAGCAAGGTTAAGAGCCCATAAGGACTGTGGAAGGAGAACCATAAGCTGCAGGGACTTACAGATTTAATAGGCTTGTAAACGCACCCAGTCCTGTGACGTCTGTAAACATCTATTTTGAATTATAATCCTGGATGCTACCAAAAGGAATGTTGCTCAAACTTCTTAGAATGACAGATATATTAAAATATTGTGACACTTTCTCCAAGGATTTCCTTTAAAGAAATCATGGGGAAAATATGGAACATTTTCGCTTAAGAAAGAATGATCCTTGTCCTGCAAATACCAAGTTTAATAAACTCAAGGGAGATGTATGAGGGTTTTACTACCCATTTTTCTCTCCAACACATAATGTATTTGCTATTTGTAGTCAAATACACTTTTTTTTAAAAAAATGAAAAAGGAGAACCACTTAAATATTCACCCCATTGACTTCACTAAGATTTACACATTCATTCGAAAGAGGAACTTGTCCCTAATGGACTATATGAACAAGCATTTCCATGTCACGATGCCCTTGACACATTGCACACTAACTGCTCTGCCTGTTGGAACTCCTTCAATACTGTACAAGATAACTAACCCTGTAAATGATTTGGCTGGTATAGACCATACCCAATGGAACAGTCTTAACTCACACCTCTTTGTGCCTTGGATCCTTTAATCATTTTTGTCAGCAAATTTTGAACCAAGAAAATCAGTTTTAGCACAGATAAACCATTTGCAAATGTTGGACCTAGAGGAAAATGTTAAGACTCACTTCATATTAACTAAGTAATATCAAATAAATTTAAAAAGAAAATATGTTAACTAAGTAAAGATATTTTACTTAGAATAGTGATTATTAATGTTTAGCAGGCACTTAATGCACTTCTTTGTGCAACACTTACAATGGCAGGGAAAAAAGAAAAACAAAAGTGGGAATTCACAGGGGGTTAAGATACGTGCATGTAGGAAACAAGCACTGAGGTTCTCTCCTAGCCTCTGGCGCCAAAGAAAACCCTGATGACATGATGAGGTTGTTCTAAAACCCTACCCCAAGCATAGTCAGCATCCAGATCTTCCCAACTCTGAAGACAGGATGCTGGTTAGGTTGAGAGGTCCTGAGAGGACATTCTTGCAGGGGTAACACCAGGACACACACATCTCAGGGCAGTGATCTATTCTCCAGTCCTGTTCCCGTAGCTCTACTGATGATCATTTATCTTATAACCGGTTTGGGCCACTAAAGCAGGTGGCCAGGCTAGGTTAAATCCCAAGCCCATGCTGTGTGCATTGCTAGAATGTACACCTGAGCTTGGCATTCAGGAGCCATTCAAAAATTGTCATTTGCCCAGCTGGTGTGGCTCCGTGGTTGAGCATTGACCTATGAACCAGAAAGTCATGGTTGAATCCCCGTTTGGGGCATATGCCAGAGTTGCAGGCTTGATCCCCAGTGTGGGGTGTGCAGGAGGCAGTTGACCCATGATTCTCTCTCATCACTGATGTTTCTATCTCTCTCTTCCTCTCCTTCTCTCTTCCTCTTTGAAATCAACAAAAATACATTAAAAAAAAATAAAACTGTCATTCCCTGGCTGACACACCATTTCTCATTTCTTAGACATATGAAAAAGATAAATGGATTGTATGTGAAAGTTCTTGGGACTATTATTTAAGGCCAATACCTTGAAATGCCCTGGGGACAGGGTACAATTTATATTTATAAAGTTAACTAGAGAAGTCTTATTTGTAATGGAGTTCTGGGAAGTGATATACATATTTCAATACATGCTTTCTATTCCCTAATTAATAGGCTATCTTGTAAAAGATGACTCTAATTTTTAAATACAATTGAAAAAAATAAGGTCATATACCTAAGAGTGGCTTTATGAACTAAATGTTATTCAAATATAGGCATTATTACTATTATCATAATTAATGAAATAAGAGTATTATTATTATTACCCTGGCCATAGTGAACCTTCTTTTAAAAGTATTTGTGTGACAGGGGAAAAGTGATTGTGTCATGACTAGATTTTTCATCTGATAAACATTGATTTATAGATATATAGAAACTATAAGAGAAGTGGCGATACCAGTTTTATGCAATTAAAAATGATAAAAATGCCCAAAATACTTAGCTTCTGGGATATTTTCTTCACAGCAGTGGCTCTTGACCTGAGAAGCCTATCGAGTGACCTGGGGAGGAGTGTGGGGAGGTGGGAAGTGAGCAGCAGGCATGTGAAATCTGAACGCCCCCTGCGTGATCCTGTCACCGTTCTAGCTTGAGAATCACCTCTTTACTATTTGAAAGTAATTGAGCCGAGAAATACTTGATGACTCCGAGTACAAGTTGTCAGTCTTTGAGAACATTCTATTGTACATCTCTGCCTTGAAATATATCACATCCCTCGGATTTTAAAAGGTCATGTTGCTCTTGACTATTTTTTGAATAGATACCTCTTTAGTCAAGCCAAGTTGACACCTCAAAGATGGAGGTATTGTAGAGCTCATCTGCCACGCATCTATATCAGTGGTTCTCAACCTTCTGGCCCTTTAAATACAGTTCCTCGTGTTGTGAACCAACCATAAAATTATTTTCGTTGCTACTTCATAACTGTAATGTTGCTACTGTTATGAATCGTAATGTAAATATCTGATATGCAGGATGGTCTTAGGCGACCCCTGTGAAAGAGCCGTTCGACCACCAAAGGGGTCGCGACCCACAGGTTGAGAACCGCTGATCTATATGATGAGCAGTATCAAAGGTGATGGCATTTCCTGAACCAAAAGGCAGGCCTGAGGGTCCAAAAGAAAACCTGACTTTTAAACAAGGCCGTACCAGAAATCACTGGTCGTGTGCTTATCATCCACATCACTGTTCTTTTGAGAGCAGTCTCTACACACTCAGCCATGACAGGTTCTCACCAGAAATCTCATAATTGATTTTTGCTGCTATTTCTCGATAATAATAGAGTTGAGAAATACTATGTGTCCTTCCCAGACTCCTGCTCGTGCCCTGCCCTCCCTTGGAAACACCTTTATAAACTCAGGTACCTATTCCTGTCCCTTGTGCTTTTCACCCGTCTCCTCTGCATCCTATTCATGATCTATCGTCACCTGGAATGGCTCTTCTTGTTCTTATGTTTTTGGCATCTTCTTCACCATTCCTTATTCTCTGCCTATACAAGTCCTAAAGCTATTCCAAATATTAAACTGCATTAAACAAAACAAACAAATCATTTCTTTCTAGTAGCCAGATTATTCTACAGGTGCCATAGCATAGTTACCTTCACTGCCTACTTTCTTAAAATCATTGACAGTACTCCCTGACTGTAAGTGTATATCTTAACTTTTGTTTCCCTTGATCAACTACTCAAATTCCTTGGCCACAGGCGCAGCGTTTCTGATTCAATAGAACTAGGTCTGGATCTAGGAACCTGCATTTATATGAGACAAAGCAGGTGAATCTAGTACAGGAGGCATTTGCCCAGCCGGAGTGGTTCAGTGGTTGAGCATCGACCTATGAACCAGGAGGTCCCAGTTTCATACCGGTCAGGGGACATGCCCAGGTTGTGGGCACAATCCCCACTAGAGGGTATGCAGGAGGCAGTTGATCGATGATGCTCTCTCATCATTGATGTTTCTATCTTTCCCTCCCTCTCCCTTCCTCTCTGAAGTCAATAAAAACATATTTAAAAAATAGAGGAGGCATTCACACCCTTTCATAGGACTTCAACTCTATGCCAACAGCACCTAAATCGTTGCAGCCAACTCCATCCTCTCCTCTGGACCCACAAACTACATTTCCTTACATGTCTGACCTGATCCCTCAGACTCATTGTATCCCAAACTTAATGCACCATTAACCCCCAAAACTTGCTCCTCATCAAGTATACTCTGAGACAGCACCCAACTGTAAAGCACATTTTTCACTCCTTCAGCCTCATGCCATGCCGATTCATAAATTAAGCAACCCAGTCCTCACCTCTCTTCTCACTGTTTCCCAAGTGGAGGCTTTGCTGGGAGCTGTTTGGACTCTTCTGTTTACTTCCCGAATGGGCTCTCACAATAGCCTCCCTTCAAACTTTTATACTTAAAATCAAGACTGATGGTATCATCCTTTTGCTAATCTTGGCAGGGTTCCTAATCATCTTTAAAACTGCATACAAACCAATTTTTGTGTCACTACAGGACTTTTATCATCTTACTCCAGTCTGCCCACCAATCTCGTCTCTTATAATGTCTTCATCGCCCTTCAACCCCCCTTCCATCCTCTCTATCCCCGGCCTCCTTGGCATTCCGACACTGTGCCTTCATAATCTCTACTTTCTCCCAGGCAATCTTCATAGGAGTATAAGTTAGTATATCATTTATGGAAATAAATTTTGTGACAACCATGAGAGTTCTACCCCTGTTATGTTGTTACAGCTATACTGACTGTAATCATAGCCAATATTTGTTGATTTTTCCCCCATGTTCCCTGAAGCAGTAGACTCATTTAAATCTCACTAGTACTCTCACTTCATCTCCATTTTATAGATGAGGACACAGAAACACAGGACGCTTATACAACTGCCCAAAGTCACACGGCCAGTAAGTGGCTGAGCAGGGTGGACTTTAGCTTTTGGCGACTTGTCTTTAGACCGAGCGCTCCCTGCTGCTCGGGAGGGAAACACGAGTGGGCCTTTCTCTGAAGTGGATGTCCTTTCTCTGCCCACAGGATCAAGAAGCTGAAGGAGACGCTGGTGGCGGTCCAGCAGCTGGATAAGAACATGAGCAGCCTGAGGACCTGGCTGGCTCACATTGAGTCAGAGCTGGCCAAGCCCATCGTCTATGATTCCTGCAACTCGGAAGAAATACAGAAGAAGCTCCAGGAGCAGCAGGTAAATCGGAAAAAAATTGAAGAAAATAAATAGGCTTTTGAATATCTGTCCTCCTGGCCTGGCCAGAGGGTGGGTGTGAGAGGTGACTCGGGAGGGAACGTGTGGAGGGTACTTGGCCGGTTTAGTGAGTAAGGGGAGGCCTTGCCCAGGCAGGTGTTTGGGGCAGATAAGTTCCATGTCACCACAGTGCTAACTCTTAAGAAGATATGTCATCACCGTGTTAATGTTGTTGGTCAATCAAGAAGCCTTCCTAAGATGGTAGGTTAGCTTGAGCAGCAATGATGTATCTAAAATAATGCTGTTTTGTTTATTTATTTGTAGATCACTAGCTCACTACCATAAACTTGGAAAGGAACCTTTTTAAAAAATATGTGTTTTGTTGATTTTTTTTTCTTAGAGAGAGGGAGGGAGGAGGGGAAGAGAGAAAGAGAAACACTGATGTGAGAGAGAAACATCAATCGCTGTCTCCCATACATGTCCCCACTGGGGATCAAACCTGAATCCCTGGTATATTCCCTGATTGGGAATCAAACCAGAGATCCCCTTGGAGAATGAGACAATGCTCAACCAACTGAGCCACACTGGCTAGAAAGGAGCCATTTAAAATTTCATAGAGTAGTGTTTGGAGAAAGATTGCAGTGCATACTTAGAGATTTTAGTGTCTAAAATAATTGTCTTTTGAAAGGAGGATTGCATGACCTGCAGACCACACGCAGTAATTTCACCTTCATATGTGTACCAAAGACAGCATATTCCACTGGCATACAATACACACCCCAGCAAAGCAAAAGAGGGTGATGCTGAAAAATGCACACAGAAGGGATTTCCACCTCCCACTCCCCTTGCTGCTTCTTACTAAGCATAGCAGACTCCAGTTGCCATAAATAAACACCATCAACCCCCATCAAGTATTGCTACTCCATGCATTTAGATTGTCGTTGAAAATTCTGTCCACACTCTGGTTATTTTTATTAGTATTTAGGCCACTATAGCCAAGTTTCTTAACTTGCTAGTAAAAAATGTTTAAAATATATAAACAGACCTATTTCTGCAATCCTATGAAACAGTGTATATTTTTAGTTTTCAAACTATTTAAACCAATGAGAATAGGCATTAAACTACATTTTTTTTAGGTGTTGGGTTTACTTTGATATTTAAATTAGCATTTCTTTTCACAAGCAATTGTTAGGGTATTTTTTTCAATTTTTGTAAGATTAAAACCTCTGATGGACTCTTTGATGTTTGAAATTCTGATGATTGAACTTTGAGGGGGGCTGTCAGTAATCCAAATTTCCTGGAGAACATGGTAATGACAACTACAAGTGATAACTAAAGTTAAAATTTAATGACCAGTATTGTAATTTAGCAAAGGTAAGAAAATTAAAACAGTATCTAATTAAATATGGCAAATTGATTATATGCACATATAGCCCCACCCACTACTAAAACCCCAACGCAATGATAGTGAAGGGGGAAAAGAAAGTCAAAACCCACAATTGCAAAGAGAACAGCGAGATGCTAGAGATGCCAGACATCCAACATCATTTTGAATAGATGAATAGTGATGGTGTTAGCAGATGGAGGAAGGAGAAAGATCATTCATGCCACAGAGTTCCAAAAAGGCTCAGGAAGTGGAGATATTAAGTCTGTATGGCTTTAAAATGGAAGATTGCTTAAAAGTCTGAATAAGGAGTGATTAGACTTCAGATATTCTCAACACTCCCTGCCCCCTGTAGCCTAGCTAGTCAGGAGAAAAAGGTGAGAGAGAATATACATACAAGAATATTAATCCCAACTATGTGAGTAAATTGAGGAATTATCTTTAGAATGAGAGGAAAGCTAAGCATATTCTAGAGCTGTATCAAAGAAAAGGAAAATATATTAAGGACCATAATTAATAAGGCAAGCAAAAAATGAACTCACTTTTAGCGAAGGAATACTTTGAGTACATTGAGTTAAAAGCTCAATGGAAAAAATAATGTATATTTTGTGCTGATATTCTTTGCAGTTAATATAAAGATTTCACAAAGTTCAATGCCTTCTTTACCATCATATCTATTTCCTTCTTTTAAAATTGCTCACTGAGAAAAAAATAAATAAGTAAATAAATAAGTAAAAATAAAATTTCTCACTGAGGAAGCTGCTGATGATAATGATGATGTCATCATACATAGTAGACAACCTCGGTCCCTTCAACCCACGGTACCTCTTAACAATGGTAGAATTAACATATATTTAGAGATCAAATCCCAGATCTTGAGTGCCAACTGTTAACAGGAACATATATATTATTTTGACCAATTGATTGATCAGTCTATCCATGGGAATGGAAGTGATATATCTGTGAAGTTGAATCTGGGGCAAGATTTATATTTTTAATTCATCTTTATTGTTGAAAGTATTACAGATGTCCCTGCCTTTTTTTCCCATTGACCCCCTCCATCCCGCACCTGCCCCGCCTAGGCCTTCACCACACTATTGTCTAGGTTCATTTTTTTTTTAATCCCTAAAAAGCTCATTTTATTCTTGATATAGCTAATGTAGTCTATTTCATTTGTTTAGTTTCTATTTTGGCATTGCTCACATAGCTGACATATTTCTAGATT